GGCCTCAGGAAAGCGACCGCGAGGAGAGGTCGCGAGCACTGCTCACCTCGGGTCCTCTGCTCGCTCCATCAGTGTGGAACCCAACCTGACTCCCGGACTCCGAGAGACTTCCCGCCGCAGCTCCCACGACGGCCCCGCCTCCGGACCGCCCATTGGCTGTTTTTGACACTGCGGCCTGCCCCTTCCGGGCGGGGCGACAAACGTGTTCCATATGCTCTTCTCGCTGACTGGCTGTGTCAAACGTCGAGTTCGTGACGTAATGAGAACTCGAGCCAGTAAGGATGCACGGTCTGCGTTTTCCCGAACACCCGCAGTGGGTCAGAAAGGAGGAGATTGCAGTTGGTTGTAGCTTCGGACGGTTTCTGAGCGTTCGTGTCCCTCACTCGTCACCTTTCTTCCTTTGCTTATCGCCATGCCGATGTACCAGGTAAAGCCCTATCACGGGGGCGATGTGCCTCTTCGTGTGGAGCTTCCCACCTGCATGTACCGGCTCCCCAATGTGCACAGCAGGACCGACGGCCCGGTGCCCAACGCGGGCCACGTGCAGGTAGGAGCGCGCTGCCCCAATCCAGAGCGCAGGCGCGGCAGGGGGCACCCTGCCCCGCCCCCACCCACTTATCCAATGCGCAGGCGCGGTACTCAGCCCGTGCCCTGGGTTCCCCCGGTCCACCCCAGGACTTAGGGTGCGGATCACACTTTGTCCCGACGGGCCGCGGGTGCTTAGTCCAGCCGCTAACCTCATCCCGGATCTGTGCGCTGACCGGCCACATTATCTTTTTATTTATTAAAAGATCTATCCTTTATCTGTTCTGGTGACTTTTTTTGGCATAAGCCTACTTAAGCTTTTTTATTAGGAAAATTTTACCCACAAAAAAAAGAATAACCCATAGAAAAGTGAGTAATACATAAATCCTCACCTTCAGGAATTAAAAAGCTATCCCACCCCCAGGGTCCCTGTCCGGTTGACACATCGTACCGTATCTTCAGCGCCCCACCCTTCCCGCTTAGAACTTTCCCCCAAGTCTGGACTTCCATGCTAGTTATATCCCGCTTTGCTCTGTTATTTTGCCAACGAAGTGTGTATCCCTAAGCAATATAGTCTCGACACAGTGGAAGCACGCAGTTTCTGTTTTGTTGTGCCCGGCTTCCTCTTTGTAGACATGATTTTAAGAGTCATTTTGTTGTGAGTAAATCCAAGTATACTACTATTGTTTGCCATCCTGTGCTTCTGGACCCTGGATTGTTTTCCATTTTATGGCATTATGATAATTGAGCAATTAATGTTTTTATACAAGAGTAGGCATGAGGTAAATTAAGGAATGAGATCGCTGACTCGGAGGGCAGGTCTGGCTTCCATTTTACCGTAATAGATAAATTGAACAATCTTCTTTTTTTTTTTTAAAGACAGATTTTTTGCTATAGAGCACATACACTCACTGGAGAGACAGAGAGAAAAAGCGAGAAATCACCCCCTCCCCAGGGAAGATGACCATGTAGCAGTTCCTTCATGTCCACTTTTTATAGTGTACCTGCTCAAGTCTTTCACTCTTATATCAGTTGTGGTTAAAAATGGGACTTCAAAAAGTTCATGGAAAAATAGAATTAATGTATCTTTTTACTTTGATGCAAAAAAAAAAAAAAAAAAAAGAAATCTGGGACCAGCAGGTGGCAAAATGGTTCCATCACTGGATTCCCACGTAGTTGACCATGGTTCAGGGACCAGCAGTTAGCGTAATGGCTATGTCGCTGAACTCCCATGTAGTCAACCACATTTCGCGTCCTGGACCCTGTGACTTAAAACTCACGCCTGACGCGTGTGCGTGCATGCCCAAGATCCCGAGAGGAGAATGGAGGAGAAGGGATTGCGGCGTGACCATCCCCTCTGGGGGGTGATTTCTTGCTTTCTGTCTCTGTCTCTGTCTGTCTGTCTGGCAAGCGCACGTGCCCTATAGCGAAAACCTCTCCCCCCCAAAAAAAGACCATGGTTCAAGTCTTGGATCTGTGGCTTAAATCTCAAGGCAGACACTTGTGTGTGTGTGTGTGTGTGCACCCGCCCATAATCTAGAGAGGAGAATAGAGGAGAAGGGATTGCGGCATGGCCATGGGGGCTGGGAGGGATAAGGGGAAACACGATTTCTTGCTTTCTATCCCCCTGTCTGTCTCTGTCTCTCTGGCAAGAGCATGTACCCTATAGCAAAAATCTCCCTAAAGAAAAAAAAAATGAAATCCATGCTTAGTTTTTCTTTCATATTATGTATTTTCTATGAGCTTTTTGAAGAGTCCCCTTGTATTTTTCCATATAGATTTATTATGTTTTTGAAAAACTTGTCTGATTGAATGATCAGGAATAATTTTTTGAAAAAAAAATTTTTTTTAACTTTTTGCCATAGGGTGTGTGCACTCACTGGAGAGAGAGACAGAGAGAAATCACCCTCACCCCCAATCCAGGAAATGGCCACACCACAGTCCTTTCTCCTCTCAGGATTGTGGGCATGCATACACACATACCCAGCGTGTTTTTCAAGCTTCTGGATCTAGGACTCAAACCTTAAGAGTTGGCAGTGTGGTGCTCGCTTCGGCAGCACATATACTAAAATTGGAACGATACAGAGAAGATTAGCATGGCCCCTGCGCAAGGATGACACGCAAATTCATGAAGCGTTCCATATTTTTTGGCCATTGCGAATGGGATTGTTTTCTTCAGTTCTACCTCAGTTTGTTCATTGTTGTGTGGAAAAGGTGCTATAAATTTTTGTATGTTGATTTTGTTAAAAAAAAAAAAAAAAAAAAAAGATGCTATAAATTTTTGTATGTTGATTTTGTTTAAAAAAAAAAAAAAAAGAGAGTTAGCAGTGTGGGATCCAGCATCCTAACCACCATGCTACTTGCTGGCCCAGGAATAGTTTTTAAGTGACCCCTTGTGCACATTTGAGGTTTCCAGCAGCAGGAACATTCTGTCCATTCTGACAGGAGACGAGTGAGTAGATAACTTTTGTGGTCTGCTTTTCCCATTGTGTGTTACCTTTACTTTTTTTTTGGAGTGGTTTTTGCTATAGGGCACGTGCACTCGCCAAAAAGACAGAGAGACAGAAAGTGAGAAATCATCCTCCTAGGGGGATGGCCGTGCCACAATCCCTTCTCCTCTTGGGATCTTGGACATGCGTGCACACACACCCGGCGTGAGTTTAAGCCACTGGGTCCAGGACTCTAACTGCAGTCGACTACATGGAAGTCCAGTGACATAGCCATTACGTCAACTGCTGGTCCCTACTTTTTCTTAATGACTTTCTGTTTCAAATGGAAGAAAGGTGGTTAGGTTAGTTTGAACCAAATGGCACAGCTGTTACCTTACTACAGAGCCAAGACAGAAATAGACATGGTTCTATGTCCCTTCAACTAGTGACTACCATGGAGACATGGCAAAGTGCTGCTTCAGTCACATAATCCCATGGAACCAAAATGAAAACCCAGAGTGGAAAGTTTTCTTGTTTTTGTTTTTGAAGTCTACTTCCTTTGTACTTTTGTTTGTGAACTTCTAACTAAGAAGACACCTAATCCCACTCCTCTTGCTAGGTCATACTACAAATACAATACTTACTTCAGACATTCTTCAATATTGACTGAGTTTTTGTTTCTGTTGTTGTTTTTGTGTTTTTTGGAGAGGTTTTTGCTTGGGCACGCACGCACACACACCCAGTGTGAGTTTAAGCCACCAGGTTCAGGACTCGAACTGTGGTCAACTACATGGCAGTCTAGCAATATAGACATTATGCCAACTGCTGATCCCTTGACTGAGTTTTGAATCCAGTGTTGTTTTAGCCTTAGTAGGGCAGGCTACCTACTACCATTTGCAAAAATAGACATGATTGTACATAAATAATACACAAGTAGGGCCAGCAGGTGGTATGGTGGTTGAGGGCGCTGGACTCGCACATGGCCAACTGTGGTTTGAGTCCTGGACATAATGGCTTGCTCTCTCACTTCCCCGCCCCTCTGCTCCTCTCTGGTCAAATTTAAATAAATAAATTAAGTAAGTAAGTAAGTTAGATAAAATAGTTCTTTAAATAAAAATAATGTATAAGTACAGGCTGGTTAACAAGAAGTTGAAAATAATTACTTAAGAGGATTCTCACTGAATAACATGAGGGTATTACATAGGTAGAAGCCCTTCCTGTCATGCATCTTGAGACAGTGAGGCTAAAGGGCAGAGCAAAATTATATGGGGGGAGGTAGCCAGAGGCCAGATCATACAGGGTATTTATTAAGCCAAGCGAAGGGTTTAACTGATCCTAAGAGCCCAGAAGTAGTGATAAGATCTGAGTTAGTTTGTTTTTAGTTTTTTTTTAAATTATTTATTTAATTTTATTTATCATCATCATTTTAATTTGTACAATTCTCGTGTACTTACTAGAGAAGAGAAAGAGAGAAAGCAAGCTGCCAGGTCCAGGACTTGAACCACGGTCAGCCATATGGGAGCCTAGCACCTTAACCACCATGCTACCTACTGGCCCCATTTGAGTTTTATATTTTATATATATATTTTTTAGTTTGTTCTAAGGTACATGCAGTCATGAGGGTAGGACTGGGAGGAGAAGGAGAAAAAGAAATCATCCCTAAGGAGATGGCCATACCACAATCCCTTCTCCTGGGACTTTGGGCGCACGCACGCACACACACACACACACACACACACACACATATGCTCAGTGTGATTTTCAAGCCACTGTGTCTGAGACTCGAACTGCACAGTCAGCCATGTGGGATCCAGAACCTTAACCTCCATGCCACCTGCTGGTCAAGGCTGCCTTCTTTCTTTCTTTCCTTTTCTTTTTTAATTTGCTCTACGGTGAATGTACTCACCAGAAAGAGTTGGAGAAAGGGAAAGTAAGAAAGTATCACCATCACCCCCGCACACCCTGGGATGACCATGCCACAGTCCCTTCTCCATTCTCTCAGGATTTTCAGCACACACACACACACAAACCTGGCATGTTTTTCAAGCCACTAGGGTCCAGGACTTGAACCACAAAATTGGCATGAGAGATCCAGCAACCTTAACCACCACACCACCAACTGGCCCCCAGCTGCCATCTTTTTTTTTTTTT